GAGGATGTTGGACCACAGGCTGGGAACTGGCCCTCCAGGGACCCCTGAGGAGAGGAGGCCTGGGATCCTGGGGCTGGGCTGGGGTCTCATGCCTCTCTGGGAGAGCCGGTGGTCTCATGCCTCTCTGGGAGAGCCGGTGGACTCCAGGGTGAACTTGGTGTTAGCCTGTGTCTGCTGGGAGTGGGCCACGAGAGTTCCCAGCTTCAAAGGGCCAGAGGAGGCCTCGGAGCCCCGCCCACCTGTGAGTTCGGGGACATCAAAGGGCCCCACCCAAGGGGCGGCTGGCTGTCGGAGCAAGTGTAGAAACACCCAGAACTCTAGCTCCAGAGGGAGCGGCTGGGTTGGGTCCACTGGAGGCCCCCTGCAGTGACCCGAGGACCCTGCCTCACCCTGAGGTTCTGGCCAGGCCGGTGACACCCCACCTCTCTGGGTGAGGGCCTTGCTCCCAGGGGTGGCTGGGGAGTGGTGGGTGGGGCTTCCGGGGGCTGCGACACAACTGCACTCCACTTCATGATTCACCCAGTTTTGACAGGGATCCAGGAGCTTCTAGGGGGTGCTGGGTGCTGAGTGACACCACGGCACCCGTGTGCATCCCCAGCCTGGCCGCAGGTGCTCTGGGCCCTCTCCCTGGGACTGCCTGCCTGGACAGCATTTTCTGGCCCTTTCAACCCACCAGGGCCCCTAGCCCAGCCCTGGGCCTTTACGATCAGGAGGTGAGGAGGACCCCTCACCCCAGGGGAAGCCTCACCCTGCATGGGACAGGCCTGGCCTCGGCTGAACTGCACAGAGTCGGGGCCCTTGAGAGCTCCCCGGCTACAGCCTAGGTGCCCCCTTCCACTGCCCTGCAAACGTCCACAGCATGGGTGGATGTGCCCGATTGCAACCCTACTGTGTGCCAGGCCCCAGGACGTGGCCTGACCCCAGGATCCGGTTCGCTCCTGTCCACAGCCCTTGGTGGGGATCCTCTCCTAGGACCCTCCGGGGCCTGAGGGTCAGAAGGTGGTGACATCAGAGTCACACGGAGAGGGACTTGGAGTGTCCATCAGACACCTTCCTGTCCCGCTGCCCGAAGGGAGTGCCTGCTTCAGTTCCTGCCCCCAGGGCCGTAGGAGCAGGCCTTCCGGGACTCCATTCCTAGCATCGCAGATGGAATTCCTGGTGGGGATGGGACTCTGCCCCTCCAAGGACTCTAGGGGATTCCATGACAGGGTGCGTTGGGCCTGAAGGTCAGGGGCCAAATATGGGGACCTCCCCACAGATGTGAAAGCAGAGGTTTCCCTACCTCCCGCCAGAGGGCAGGGAGCATAGCTGGGTGCTGTGACTGGGGGCAGGACTCCTGGCCGCCTGGTCTCCCAAGGCAGAGGGTGACAAATCACTAACTGGCCTCTGGGGGAGTGCTGCACCTGACCGAGGCTGTCTTCAGGGGCCAGTGATTCACTAAAAAGCCCACATTCTACCAAGGCTCACGCTCTGCCACCTCCTCACATCCCAGCCATCCATCCCTCCAACCTCCCTACCTCCCAGCCTCCAGCCTCCCTACCTCCCAGCAGCCCAGTCTTCCAGCCTCCCCACTTCCCAGCCCCTCTGCCTTCCAACCTCCTTACCTCCCAGCCTCCCAGCTCCCCCACCTCTCAGCCTGCCCACCTTTCTACCTCCCAGTCTCCCCATCTCCCTACCTCACATCCTCCAGCACCCATCCTTACCCCACGCTCCCACTTCCACCCATCTGCCTTCCACTCCTTCACCGATCAGCCTCAGCCTTCCCACCTCTCAGAAACCTGCCACCTTTCTAACTCCAGTTCTACCCATCCCTAAAAACTCAGAACATCCACCTCCCCAGCCTTATCCTAAACATTCAGCTCCTCACTCCTACTCTCAGCTCTCCACCCTCCCAGCCTCCCACCTCCCAGCCTCCCACCTCCTACCTCCCAGCATCTTACCTTTATCTCAACCTCTGTCCTACTCCTAGCTCACCAGCTCCCCACTCCCACTCCTCACCAATTCCCAAGCCTCGTCAGTCCACCGTCCCTACTCCCAGCCCTCCCATAACCAATCCCGCTTTCACCTCCCTAAAAAAAAACTCCCAGCTTCCCCACCTCTCAGCCTCCCAAAACAAAACAAATCACAAAAAAAATCAAACCGCCTCCCCCACCATCCTACAAAAAAAAAAAATGCAGCCTTCCCACCTCTCAAGCCTACAATGCCCAGCCTCACCCACCGTCAGCTTCCCCACCCCTACCTCCCGCCTCCCTACCCTCCACCATCCCAGCCTCACCCACTCCCTAATCGCAGCCTCCCCACCTCTCACTTCCCACCTCACAGCTCCCACCCCTACCATCCAAGCCCCAACTACTCCTACCTCTCACCTCTACCACCATCAAATCCCAGCCTCTCAACCTCCTACTTCTCACGCCTCACCAACCTCGCCAGCCTCCCCACCTCTCAGCCTCCACATCTCCAGAACTCCACTGCCTCACCAAGACTCTCACCTCTACCTCCTCAGCTCTACTTCAGCCTCCCCATCCAGCCTTCACCTTCCAGCCGTCCCACCATCCCTCCTACACGGACCTCCTCACTTCCCTACCTCATCAGCTCCTACCTCCAGCTCCTCACCATCCTACTCTCAGTCCTACCAAGATCCAAGCGCTCCCACCCTCCCTACCTCTCCAGCTCCACACCTCTACAACCTGTCAGCCTCCACCCATACCACGCCTCTCACCTTCCCAGCTCCACCTTCCATCTCCACACCCACCTCCCACTTCCCCAC